TTGACACTTGTTTTCATAAAGGATGAAGATGTAATTGCATTGACGCATAGGTGTAACTCTAAATATTGGATTTATGTCACTCAGATTACCTGGAGTTTACTCTGCAGATCATTAATTTTACTTCAAATTATTTTGCTGTTTGACATGTTGTTTCATTAATACTTTCCCCCATTGCAAGCCTGAGGAGTTCTAATGTAGCTTTAATAGGAATATGTAACATTGTGGGAAAAACTCTGAAGGAGAACTAAGCATCAGGTGGTTAAGAGACAAGTGAAGACCACATTTGTTATTGTAGATCTTATAATTACAATGTAGTTGCATTATTATATTAGAAAATGTAACAAGATTTTTAATAATATGAAGAAGTTGGTTTCTGTCACTTTAAAGTGATCTGGTGCAGTTCTAGAAATGCAGAGATCCCTGCTCTGTGTGAAGCAGGTCAGAAACAAGAAGCTAAGTAAAGTGGTGGTCAGTGCTTTCTTTATTCAGGCACAGTGAAAGATGAATCCACAGACCTAAGGATGTCATGTTCTATTATTGAAGGTTGAGCAGGGACATAGCTCAGTTCACATGTATGCAATTGCTTTACAAGGAGAAATGCTAAAGTGATCTTTTGACAAATTAAGATTGTTTTCAGAAAGGACTGAAAATATGTTCTGCAGCTGTTAGAAGAAGAAACAGGAGGCATACTAGGCAAAACAGACTAGAAAGAGATGTGGACCAACTTGTCCCTTGTGACATTGGCAGGAGCTAGAGGCGGTATCGTAGTGCAGGTTCCATTAGCTGCTTCTGTGACTGAGGGGGCTGGAACTGTGAATATTTTTTTTTTTTTAATTTTATTTTTTTTTTCTTCTTTCTGCATTGACATTCTTTACCTGTCAGAAATGTTCTGAAGTGTTTGGGAAGCTCCTAAGTGTTTGGTCTCTGCTGCAGCTCAGAATGAAATTAGTAAGGTATTTAAAATTTTGCGTTGGAGATGGGTCATGTAAGAGGCCGGAATGACCCTTGTTATCTTTGTAAACAAAAAAGATGAGGCTTGTCATTGAGATGACGTGTTAGTACAAAGGGATTAAAATATTTCCCAAAGCATGTTTGTTTAAATCCTTGAGTTTAAGTATTTAACACCTCATCTGAAGAATTTATTGCATTCCATGTGTAGCTAATTATTTCTAAGTTGACTTGTCAGTATGACTGGTTATTCAAAATAAATGGAGATGAAGAACCTTTGTTCATTTCTTAAAAACAGAGATGCAGGACTCTACTCAGGATTTCAGCTGTGTGCTATGAAATAGTTATAGCCAATTAACATTTGACTTTCTTTTCCTCACCAGTGTGCTCTGTGTTAGCATATTGCTTTTAAAATATCACTCAAATTCTTCTGTACTTCAAAAAATTATCAGGATCTATATGGTGATTGTGCTTTCAAATGTGTACAGTTATAAGTAGGATTTTTTTTCTGCCTTAAAAGTTAGATCACTGTACCTCGTAATCTGTGGAAATTTTAGTAGGTGAAGTTGGGTGAGAGGCTTTGTAGTAACCAGCAAACCTCATCCAGATGCATTCAGATAGATACAGTGCAAGTAATGATTTCAAATAACTTAATTTTGCTGAATTAATTCAGTATTTTAATACTGATATATGAATGGCTTGAAGGACTTCTTTGTTGTTGAAAAGTTATAAAGGACTTGAAAAAAAAAAAGACTGGCTCTTAGCCAAGGAATAAGTTTTCCTGGCTCACAGTAGCTGTTGAAAGTGAAGGGTGGATGTTTCCAGAAATAATTTTATGGCGGCCACCAGACTTCTTGCTGCTCTGTTTTTTGACTGTGAAAATGTTGGAAAAGCATCCAAATACAGTCCTTCTGTCTAACTGTTTTGTCACTTGGCTACTGTAGGTATGCCACGTCTTAATTTTAGCACTTCCTTTGAGGTGTTGTGCTCTTCTGGGAATTTTTAATGTAATTTAGACCATTTCAGAAATGAAAAGGAGTTGCATTTTAGGAAAATACAGTGTACCTTTCACCATGGGTAGGTTGCCTGATTTATTTGCTATTTCCTTTCTCTTAGTCAAGATAGAGTTTTGCTTTTAACTGATCCATGTTTCTGCAAAATTTACAAAAGCTTTTTTATTTTTCGGACTTCTGCTTTTTTCCACTTCTCTCTGCATCTTCTGCTTCTCTGTTATATTTGTATGAGTCTTCCTCTTCTGATACTTCAGTGTCTAGGAAAGTGTACAATCAATTAAGCTTTTATTTTCTAGGAAAGCAGGCTGAATATCTTGTCTTAGAATACCTGAATACCTGCCACCCACGATACAGAAATACTTCACTGTCTTTAAATGTAACAGTTGCCTATGATTGAGCAATCTGGCCTTGCTAGTTAATATGAATGAGAAAGTTTCTTGAATATTTTTATTCTGCTGGGCATTTCATCTAACTCTTTATCTATCTAACTTTATCTTTCAGTACCAAGATAAAGAGGAAGTTGTTTTATGGATGAATACAGTAGGACCTTACCACAATCGCCAAGAAACATACAAATACTTCTCTCTCCCTTTCTGTGTGGGATCAAAAAAAAGCATCAGCCACTACCATGAAACCCTAGGAGAAGCACTTCAAGGAGTTGAACTGGAATTTAGTGGTCTTGACATCAAATTTAAAGGTAAGCACTTGAAAATGCATTTAGTCACTTAAAAAAACCTCCATAAACCCTTAACATTTTTTCACTAGAAGAACTGAAAGTTAGCTGCTACTAGCAACTAAGTGTATCGTGTTTTGTTACTTGAAATGTCCTGCAAGGTTGTCTTATCACCACTGACGTTTCAGTTTACTGTGAAGTTTTCATCTATGTGCTCTTTAAGGAAGATGCTTGCAGCAGATGCATGCTTCTGAAGTAACTAATTACAATTTATAAAGTAAAAGTGAGCCTCCTGTGTATGAATGATTAAAAGGATATTTATTGGATACTAATATTCTGGAATTATCAGTTCTGAAGATGTGAATTTATTTTTTTTTAATGGTGTTTGTTACTTGCAGACTCTGCAGTTGGAAAGGAGTAACAAGGGCTTAACATCTTGAAGTTCAACTTTAACGCAAAGTTAATTATTTGTACTTGGTTACTGTCCAGTTTAAAATACCTTTCACAAATACCTTTATATTTTTAGCTCTAACTTGTCATATGTTAGTTATGATGGAGTTGGTAAGGTTTTTTTTCGTTGTTGTTTCCTGCCCTCTCCCTCTATCCATACTGTTCCAAAGATGACATTTAACTTCTTGGTGTTAAGGGCAGATTCTTCTGTTGCATGATTTCTCTGTATGTGTTCTTTGGTACCCATAGTCCTTTCAGATCTCTCTAACTGGTAATTGCAGAGCTTCAGATAATAACACTCTTTTTGTCTGTATTGATTTTTGACATCTATGTATTTAGTCCCATTTGGATTTCTATGTGTATGTATTCTTTTCCCTAGAGGGCTACAGTTAATTGCATCACCAGTACTTAACTGGATGGAAAACTTACACATAGTATCTCTTGTGTGAGCACTTGCAATCAGATGGGATGTGGTTTCTGTAAGTTACCGAAGTTTATTCAAAACTGAACATCTGCAAAATAGGAGACTTGATTATGTTTTTGTTATAGGTAAGGTAAGTGGAGTGAAATTTTAAAATCTTCTTAGAACCAGTAATCCTTCTTGCAAATGGAAAGAACAGAGAAGGCAACTGGCAGCAAGTCAACACTGCTGTAAAGATTAAGTAAAACTGTCAGAATATGACACATCTTTATTTTTACAGCCAATTATATATGTAATTTTTACTTCCTTAAATTGCCCCATCTTTACAGAGGTTGTGTGATTCCAATTATGAAGGTACCATTTAAATGCAGCACCAAAGTGAAAAGACTCAGATTTGTGAATTAATGTTTGCTGTTATGAAGTGTCCTTTATCTTCTGAAGTTTATCCATAGTTAATTAATTTGCCTATCATATTAAATTTTTGTTAGATCAAGTCTTTCATTGTGTGCCTGGGAGTACTGAGCAGATTGTGCTGTTTTGTAGCTCAATTTTTGGACCTGCCCTTTTCCTTCTGAACCTGGGGGTAGCAATGTTAGTAGTCTGTTTTTATAGTGGAAATGTTGAGATGATATCAGGGGAAGGAAGTAGACTAGATTAACATCAGGGACTGTCTGAAACGCTTGAAGAGTTTTCTTAAAGGATCCAAAAAAGCTTGAGTCTCTGTTATACCAGAAGTACCTGCAGTAGTCTCACTGGTTTAGATTTGTAAAGCACATTGATCTAATTTTTCCTGAACTAACATGAAACAGATGAAACTTTCAGTTTATCTTTTGTTTCCTCTTGTGATCACTTCATAGTCTATAGTCAGAGGTAGTTTAGCTTTTCACAGTATTTTCTGCCATTTCTGAGGGAAATATGCAGAAGCAGAGTATTAGGCAAATCTGTTCTTCTGTGAATACACTCTGAAATAATTCTGTGAAATACTTTAGTAACAGAGAAATTAATGAGGTTTTTTTTCCACTGATTCTTTAATCTAAAACTTAGAGAAAAGATACTTGACAGGTACTTATTTTTGTTTAAAAAAAACACATAACTTGACTAACATTGAGCCCCCAGCTCCTCAGTGCATAGGAATTTATGCAGTTCCTGTTTGGTTACGAGAACTCTTTTAAAATGCAAAACTACAGGGAGCTGAAGCCATCCCAGACTAATACAGATTCAGAATGGTGAAAAAGTGCTATGGTTTTTGTACATTGTGATTGTTTTCATTTTGATTATGTCCCTGCCAGATGAGTTTTCTCTGTCTTCTGTAGGTTTTACAACAGGGAAATATCTTTTCCATATCTCTTATTGTGCTTTCAGGTTAGGAGTTTCAGTATCTGATTGTAACTGCTTGTGCTGATGTTTCGACACAGAAGGCTTTAGATTTTCCCTCTATCATAAGGATACTGCAATTTCTTCAGGGCTTAAGGTCTGATTTTCTGCTCATACTATTTTTTTCAGGTGCCTTTTTGCATGTCTGATAGTTTTACTAGTGCATCACATGTATTTAGTTGTGATATTGGGGTGTATTCTTTCAGACAGAGTCAGCATGATGTTGTTCAAAACAGGCTTTGAATGGATATGAGATCAGAGATTTCAGACATAATCTGGTGTTGATGGCTTGTAATTAAAAGTGAGGGATGTGCTAGTACCTTACCTTGCAGGTGGGGAGTTCCTCTTCATCCATGTCCCTTGTTGTGCTTTAAAATGTAACTATTAGTAACACGTTGGTGCTCTGTGTAGATTTCTAATCTAATGGACCTGCAGTGAATTTTAACTCCAAAGTGGCTGCAGGTCAGATGTTTTCTATAAAGCAGATGGTACATGGTAGCTGGTTGTTGAATAAGTATGTGTGCATGAACTGGGAAGCTGTGTCTGCTTCTAGTTTTTTCCTTTACAATCTGTGTCCACTGGATGAAAGATGAAGAGAATAATCTCTTTGCTGGTAGCTGGCATCCAGCAGCTTCAGAAGGTATTTCTTGCAATGGATCCGTGAAGTGAAATCTGAGTGGGAGTCAACTCTGTTTTACTATATATAATGTGCTATTAAAAGTATTAATATATCCTTATTTCCAAATTTAAGAGTAACAAGTATAAATTAACTGTAGCAGTAGTTGTTAGTACCTATTTAATGTAAAGTTACATAAAATTAAAGTCTCCTTGATATGCAGGTTTTAAAAGTAAAAAGATTGCTGTCTGAGATTAATTTTACAGGCTTAAAAGATGTCGTAGAATCAGTGCAATTTATATCAAATACATGTAGGAAGATTTAAATGTCATAGAACAGCACTTAAAATTAGCATTTGTATGAATAGTTCTTTTCCGATATGATGGTATCTCCTTAATGGTAGATCTTGATCTTGGCTGAAGTGATGTTCACTTTTTTTTTTTTTTTGGTAAATAATTGCGCCTGGATTGCATTAGTAAAAATGAAATCTTCTTGTAATGGATAAATTTTATTTCATGACTGCTCCATCCTCTGACCAGTGGTCCAGAAGTTGCTGTGATGAAACTGAAACAGACTTGTTGGTGTTTTTTGTTTTGTTTTTGTTTTTTTTCTTAACAAATACAAGCTTATGTTTTGCCAACAATAGATTAATATGTTTTAAAGTAAAAGAGCTTCAGGAATGGTTGACTATTTAACATCTGCAGCTGAAATTACTAGGAGCTACTCAAGTATGTTTCAATAATAATTTAGACGTTTGAATATGCATTTAAATACCTAACCACAGGGAGCTGCTTTTCAAAATTTTGGAATAACTGTGTGAAAGACTTGCACAGATCTTCTACACAAATATGTCAATCAGGTCTAATTTACGATGTAACAGGTAATCATGGTTTCCTCCTGTGTGTTTGGGATTATGGCAAGACTAACAATTACAGGTATTTTTCCTCTTTAAATGAGTGTTATAATAGTTTGAAAAATTAAATTAGATTATACTTTTGGGTTTTTATCCTGTGGAGTGAGTAAAAGGGCATTAGAATTGTTCTAATAAATTAGCTTCTGCAATTAAAAACTGTTCCCTTCTCACCATAGTTTGACTGGGCAGCAGTAGCAGGTAAGTGTGAAGCTGTCTTCATGTGCTAAGAATTATTTAGGCTGCAGCTGTCAGTAACTGAAGCACCATAGACTGTGGAAGTAAAACTGTCAGTTGAATTAGTGGACCTTGCACATATTTTTGAAATAGAATAAGAAAATTATGGCCTTGCAGAAACCTATTTTGCTGAGAATAGAGGTTTGCACTGAGATGCTTGGCACGGTGACTAATGGGGCTGATCTACAGTGTATTCAAGGATCCATGAAATAGTTTTTGTTGTATTTAAAAACTTGCCATGTAAAAGGATGCCTGCAACCATACAGAATATCTGGATTTCCCTTTTTTTACAAATATGGACAATGTTGTTCTTATACCACAGGTCAAATTTGTATAAATACCTTTGTGAAGAAAGTGATGGATTGTTAACATACATTTATGACTTTAGATTTTCAGCACACTTAATTCTCCTGTCAAGCTAAATCTAGAGTAACAGTGTTTTTTCCTCTACATACACCTGAGACCTAGTGAATTATTAAATGTATTGATCATTGGGATCATAGCAACTTCATTTAGAAAATTAAGTTTTGACATTGCCATACAATGCCAATCAGAGAATAATTAAAAGGGGAAAATTAGTTTTTATAACATCATTATTTAGAACTGTTATTACATGACCATACTTCTACATGAGAACTCCTTGTCTCAGACTTCTTCTGCAACATCTCTAGAAAATATGACAGCCATCCAGGATGATGTTTGGTGTTGTACTAGGAGATGGTCAGATGTAATGAGGTTTTATAGGGTTTATATGTTTAAATAAAACTCAGTTGATCTGACTATTCACAGGAAATTTGAAATTTGTCTTAAACATACCTGCTTTTCTAATGATTTCTGTCTTCGTGCTCTTTTAAAATTTGCTTGATGTGATACTGACATTACTGAAACTGTCTTATATAGCAGATGTTACCTCTTTGACATCCCTGATGTGGACACAATACAAAACATACCTATAACTTCACTTTTCTTTCAGACACAGCCATAACTTGGATATGAACTATCTAACATATGCCAGACTTCAGATGTGGTAAAGCTGTAATGAAGTGGACTTTAGCTTCCCCAGCCACTGAGCTACTTTCATTTAATCATTTGACACAGGGGACTTAAGCTTAACCATCTAATCCTGTCCTGTAACTAAAGGACAGCTTCAGCGTTCCCCATGGCTCTTGCCTTCATTTAGTTATGTTAGAGGAAGGTGAGAGGAACTGTGCTGTGTAGTATGGCTGAGGGTGAGATCATGTACCATGTGTAAAGTCAGACCTATCTTTTGCAAGAATTGAACAAGGTTGTTTCTAATGACACTGCTGGGTTTTTGTGTATGTGCACTGGAGTAACTTGTAATGTAGTCAATCCACAGTTGATTGTAGTAATACTATGATGTCTTTCAGTTTTCTGGATATTGCAAATAAGACCCATAAAAATGGGTTAAGGCAGTGTTTTGATGGCATGCTGCTGTCTTCAGTTTAGTCAAATGTCAGTGCAGTTATTTAACGTCAAAAGATACTTCAAATTATTTTTTTTTTAAAGTGGCCAAGGCCAGTGTTTGCATCCTAGAGTATTAGATGCAGAATGGCACATTTCAGTTAGTAAGAAAGAAAGAAAGAAAAAATAGTGGCAAATTCCAGTATCTGAAAGCCCATGGAGTAACTTGGTATTACAATCTAGTACCAAATTTGTCTTGGTTGATAACTACAAACAAAGGCAGCTGTGTTTAGCCCATAAAATGGGGAAGGTCTTTAAAAAGACCTGTTGTAGTTAATGTGATTTTTATTTCAGTAGTAGCACTTGCTTGCATCCTGGTGTTGTCCTTTAGTTGTGCTTACAATGCTGTCTGTGTGGCTGAAGCAGTCGAGAGAACCACCTAGAAAACAGCCTGGCCCCTGTAGAACTTCCCCAGATCAGGCTTCTGTGCTCTGGCACTAGGTAATACTTCATTTAGCAGCCTCTACCAGCTTATCTTTACTGTTACTTTAATTCACAGTGTATTTCCTTTGACCTCTCTGTATTGAACAATTCTTTTTGAGTTAAAAAATTCAACATAATAGGCATTGTCCTTTCTTTGAGTATAGTGTGAAACTGCTAGAAGGTTACAAAAAGTGCCACATATTTTGGAAAGAATTAATCCCTACTTAGCAACAAATCCAGAAGATAGGGATTTGTATTTTCTTTTAATTAATGTCAAGATGACTCAAAAAATCTGTTGAAGTGAAAAGTGCCAAGCAGAGACATCTTTTTGGGGAACATAGTCCAAAAAGTGTAGAAGTATAGGATCCAGCTCAGGAGGAGCATAAATGCTAACTGAGGGCTGGTTTTGTAGACCTGTGTTTCAACTGTGGTGCCAACTTTAATGTCATCCCTCTCCTGAATGTACCAGTACAGGTCCTGAAGATGTAATCTGTGATCTAAAAGTCTTCTTGGGACAGTTGTTGAGTTAAGTGATTATGTTTTTCGCTTTTTTTCCCAGCAAAAGCTTTCTTGCCTCAGTCTGAAAAATCCTATTTTTTTTGTCAGTGAAAAAGTGAAGCTTATAGAGTGCATTTGTGTAGGTCATGGAAGAAGCAAAGCTTAGACAGTGCTAATATTTTCATAAGAAACAGGAGAAAGAGGTGCATCCATTCCAGAATAGCCAGGGGCACTATTTTGTCCAGGGCTACAGGAAATCACTGCAACTATACATGACTGTGGTTAGCTCATTTCTTATTGTCTTGTTTCACTGGGTTTTGCTTGACCAAATATAACTCTGCATACTTCTATTTTGACAAATTGTTGTTATCAGACAAACAGTGTTTTGTATTGGAAATATTTTACTTGCTGGGGCTTTTTCTGTGCAGGTGATTTGATTTTCTGTTTATGTTGCAGGAGAAAGTGATCTCGATTTTGATAGAGATGAGAGCTGCACTAGGGCAAAAACTAGTTTTACCTCTTAGAAATGGGTCCTTGATTCCAGTGAAGACAAAAAGAGGAGGGAGGCAGGGCTAGAATTATTTATGTTAACTTCAGTTCACTGTTTGCAGAGTGAAAACATTCATGGGCGTTTTTGTCTCTAAATGTGTTGCTGACTGAATTCTTGTAAATATGAGTCCTTTTGTCTTATTTCATTTGAAAAGGAAATGCTAGAAATAACATTGGGATGTTAAAAAAAAAAAAAAGGCTGCCGACTGCAATACCTACAAATTGTAGATGGGGAAAATAGCTTTCTGGCTTGAAGAAGTGCATTTATTTTATTTCCAAATTCAGCCTCATGTGCATTCTTTGCATTATTTCTATTTTTATCTTCTTTTTTTTCTACCTTTATCCTGATTGTTTATTTTCTTTATGGTAGTTTCTTGAAAATTGTTGGGAAGTTTAAAAAGTTGTGATTTTTATGAACAGTATTCTTAGTCAATGAGCCTGATTATACTGAAATGGAAAGGTACTATAATATGCAGTTTTAGGCATTTGTTAATAATTTCATACCTCTCGTTAAAGTAGAAGAATTGTCGTAGTCTGTCCAGATAAAGCAAAATGCAAATGAATCTTTAATTAGTGTGAGTGATGTAGCAAAAAGATTATTTGAAACCTTTCCTTATCCAGTCTGTGGGATGTTTCTTCCTGTGGAAGGGTAGAATTGCAAAAACAATAATGTAGTCCTGTAATGTGTTTTTTTTTTTAAATGTTGTTTTTGTTACCTACTTGAGGATAACCGGGAGGGTTTAAAGACTCCAGCAAGTTCCATTCCTCCATTTGCTTGGTTTGCCTTTGCTTTGAGCCAGCTCATTAATAAATCATTAACTGTGCTTTAATTTTTTTGCAGACGATGTAATGCAAACAACTTATTGTGAAATTGACTTGGACAAAGGCAGAAGAGATGCATTTGTGTATGCTATCAAAAATCACTATTGGTACCAGATGTATATTGATGACTTACCAATATGGGGTGAGTGATGTGCATGAACAACTTGATCGCAACTGCAGGAGGCCTGTGGTAGTGTATTTCATGGGGTAATTTAATGGCTAAGCTTCATTACAAAAATCCCCCAAGTACGTGGAACTTACATAAACAGATAATACAAATAAGTTGAAGGATTGTTGCATTGAAAGAACAGTAGGATGGGTTGTACTAGTAAATTACAAAAACAGTGAAAAGCTGTTTTATTTCTCAAGCACTGATTTAATAATATTAAGTTCTTAGGGTTAAATTCTTTTAAGTGTTCGAGTGAGTGATAATTAGATAGGTCAGATATAAGGTCCATGTTCATAAATAACAACTTTTGTAAAACTATTTCAATATTTACACTTATATTTTGCTAGTTCTCTTGTTTGTTCATGGAATTATTACTAGTGCAAGAGCTGTTTGATTTGCTTTTATGGTAATTTAGTGGCTTTTAACAATTTTGCCAGTGCAGTCTCTGCTTAGATGAAGGACTTTTATTTTACTTGTTCTTACACAGTTCTAAAATTGCTCTTCCTGAGTATTGTTAGTCTGGGCTTGGAAGAGTTTGTATTTTGAATCAAAGTTTGTGTCCGTATTGCCATTGTCTCTAAGCTCTCTGGTTGCTTGTTGTGGTTTGTTTTTTTATACTCCCTTGTAACCTGTGATCACAACCTAGTAAAGAGTGCTCTGTAGATTGCACCCTTCCACTAAAAGCAATCAACCAGACTCCTAGCCCTATTTTTCCTCTTGTAGATATAAACTAAAGGGAAATGAAAAGCACTACAAAACAGATAAAGTTAGTGTATATCATCTTGAGCAGCTGGACTAGACCTGCGTGCTAAAAAAAAAATCTTCACCCTGCAACAGCTACTACACATTCCACTAAAAGCAATCAACCAGACTCCTAGCCCTATTTTTCCTCTTGTAGATATAAACTAAAGGGAAATGAAAAGCACTACAAAACAGATAAAGGTAAAGTCTTTGTTTCTTGTGTTCCATGAAAGAAGTACAGCTGCCCAAAATAAACAAAACCCTGCAACAGCTACAAAAGTAAAGTTTAAGCCACATGACAGAAGTTCTTTGATGGGTGGCATGCTGAACAATGCTATGCATCATTTATTCATTCTGACAGAGGATGGGGGTTTTTTAGCCCTTCATTTATAGTTCGTTTTTAAGAGATAACATTATAATGCCTAACAGGAGAAGTACTGATATATTGTATTTGTTCATTTCAGCTGATTTGCTTAGTGTGTGTGACAGCTCTGTGACAGGGCTTGGGGCACACCCTAATTAAACTGTGGCCTTTGCTGCACTTCTTGCACAATTGCTGGTATACTTTTAAAAAGCATCCATGAGTAACATTTGTTCCCACAGTTTTTTTTATGCTTTTGACATTTCAGCAAAAGAGCAATAATTCTTCTACGTAGTGGCAGCTATATAGGCTTTAGGCTGCCCAAGGATGATGGATGCTAAGCTGACTTCTTTGGAATCCTGTGTGGCTAGCAAGTCTTGGAGACTTTTCTTTTTCAAGACTGATTTTTCTGCTCTTATTTAGGAACATTTTTTCTCACCTTAAATACAGAAGAACAAACATACTTACTAAATCTTCTACACACTGACTAGAATTTATGCTCTCAACTGAAAACTCTGTTTTACTGTGGTTTCATCATTTTTAATGTTCTTCAGTCGTATGCTTCATATGCACAAGTCATTGTAACATGGTGCAGGTAACAAATGCAGAGAATCTAAGTATCATCTTAGTATGATGTTAAGAAGCTGGTTTTGGTAGTTATTTGGAACCAGGACCTCAAATTGTAATTCTTGCAGCATTGTAAGTACAGATAATATTATGCAAGAGTATAATCTGACATGTGGTGTAAAAGTAAGTAGTGCTGAAGACTTTGGTCTGTGGCTCCTGAGGGCTCGGTAAAACTGCTGCCGGACTGTAGATTGTTCAGTTAATATCAGCCTGGCTTTTGTTCCAAAAAATTAGTTTATTCTTGAAGGGGGGGCATAGAAAGGAGTGGATGTACCTGAACTGATCAGTTTCTCTTGTTCAGTTTCTCTGAACAAGCTTTTCTGATCTTTGGGTTCCACATACAGTGTAGAAAACTGTGAATGTAGCTTAGCTGCATTAATTCTGGTTTTGATCAGTCTCTGTTAAACAACAGCAGTAGTTCAGGCTCTGAGTACTGCCTAAAAGTTAAAGCTGTGAGGCTTGCTGCTCAATGAACAGTTTTTTGTTATAAATATTTCTGTTACGAATATGGCATGAGTGACACCATACACGTGGCTTCCCCAGCTTTCTTGGTGTCTTTGAACACCATACAGACTTGCCCAGTACCTTATAATGTGGTGGAAGAGATACAAAAGGAAAACTGGTATCTTTTGCTTGATTGAATGTCCTCACATAGCTGTTAACTTTAGTAATTATAATGGCATCTCTGAAATACTCTGCGTAGTGATACTTCTTTTTGTTTTATTAAGACAGTGTCCAGACCTGGTTGTCCTCAACTTGCATTAAATATATTTTGGGCCAAAAATACTTTTTTGTTACTATGTGTAAGCTATCATGTCGATACACTTCATGTGATTACCTTTTCCTTACCCTACTAGCCAGCATGTGATGTATGTATCACATCACCCAGTCCACAATGTTTTAAATTGTTGATTTGTGTCTTGCACCTGGATTAAACCAAAATTTTGTTCACTAAACGTAATTAATAGAGTAATATTTATTTATTTGTTGTGCCACCAAAAGAAAATAAGGATTCAGTTGGTGTTAATGTTTGCTGAGAATTCTAGGCAACTTGTATTTAATCCTATTCTTAAAGCAGACCACTCACTTCTCTGGACTCATCCAGATGGATTTGTGGCATTCCTCCTGTCTCCTGCCAAATAAGTTCATGTTTTACCTTCTTCATGATTTTCCACCTTGATAAGGTTTACTGATGTCAGTGTCATACACACAACCGTTAATATTTGACATTCTCCTTTGGAAGTCCTCAGAATATTCAGTAAGGAGTACTCTATTTTCAGTAAAGACTAGGCATAAAATAACTTAACTGCTAATAACTAAACGTTATGACTTCAGACTCCTGTTTGAGGGCTTTGGAAGGTTTACACTTTTTTTTCTGATCTTAAAAAGGCAACCAGATCTTTTAAAGTACATGCAGATAAAGCTATTCCATTTTCTTTCCTTTTTCTTAACTGCTGTCCCACAGTGGAGAAGCTAGACTTGCTTGTTTTCGTTCAGGGCATCTCCCTAAGTATGTGGAACACTGTGATCAGAATGTTCTTTAAGTAGTTTAGAGGTCTGTAATGTCATGGTTTTGGATACTACCATGGGAACAGATGGTGTGCCAGATGCTAGGCTGTATGGCATAGGCACAATCTGGCACATGTTTCATGTGGATAGCATATACAGGGCAATCCTGACAGATGAGCATAAGTAAAAAACATGACAGAAGAATACCACCTTGAAAATTAAAAAGCACAGGCAACACACAAGTGCCATTCCTTCACGTACCTTCTGCTTTGTGATAACCTGTTCCATGTCTTTAGCCTAGTTATTCTCTCACTTCCCATCTCACCTTTGCATATCTCAAATGGTGCTTTTATTGTGGCTTTCCATTTGTATGTGATCTCTGGAATAATGTTATTTACGTGAAAGGTGGTTCTTGTAGCCTGCTAGACTTGGCTTTTTAAATTTATTGTATATTCTTGATTTTTTCTGTAGTAAACATTTTGCGGTAAGTTACAGTGAGCAAGAAGTTGTGTTACAGAGTCAACTCATGAGGAATACAGACTGAAAGTAAAATTTTTAAGAGCAACTTACGAGTTCCTTTTATGATTGAAGGGATAGATGGGAATGGAGAAAATTCAGAATTCAGGGCTAAGTCGTGTTCCTGGAAGTTAAATATGTATTCAGCTAGTTGTTTATCTGATCAGAATTCCAAAACTAGAGGAACTGTTTTTATTCCTTCTGTTTCCTCTGCAGTGTTTTTAGCTGCATGTTTTTTTTCTTTTAATGCCATTACAAAATACTTCTTTCAGATATGGGTGGATTGAAGGTGTAATCCAGGTATTACAGTTAAAAAGAAGAGCAGAAGACATGCTGTGTTTTCTTTACTAGAGTTATGATGCCTTTTTTAGCTGGCAAAACGTTTGTAATGCATAGGTAGAATAATAATTACAGATTATTTGAAGGGTATACCTGTAACATATACTTACACTTGTTTACTCTGCAGGTATTGTTGGAGAAGCAGATGAAAATGGAGAAGATTATTACCTTTGGACTTACAAAAAACTTGAAATCGGTTATAATGGAAACAGAATTGTGGATGTCAATCTGACCAGTGAAGGAAAGGTGAAATTGGTACCAAACACAAAAATCCAGATGTCATATTCAGTAAGTTATTTGGTGATGCATATGATAAGAAACTACATGGTGAAATAGCTGAAAAATATATACTTTTATACATACTACTATGGATTACTACATCAGGCTATGTTAGAGGAAGATGTATCTTCACTCCTTTTTTCATTACTGAAAAGCCTTCATAGTTTTATTAAGAATAAATGTTAAATTATGATTTTTGAAACACTGCAAACAAACTGAAACTTACATAATCCACAGAAAAGTGTTTTTGTAGGAGAAGAAGGTACTGGATTCTGAGCTGGGACCAGAACCCACTGTAAGCATTCTTACTTTGCAGGCAGTTAGCATAAAAGCTTTTTTTGTTTCTGCAATCCAGTAGAAATTTGTTTTATTTATATAACCTTATTAATAGGTGTTTTTTTTTCCTGGAGCCTTCTGCTGTTGTGTTGAATTGCTGTGATAAAAGGTAATGAACAAACAATGTTTGCTGATCTGAGATAACATTAAAATTTTCAGTTTTCCTACTTACTAATTTGACATTACTTAAATCTGTAATGGTTCACTTCTCTTGTTCACCACATTTGCATACTGAACAGGTTCTTAACAGATTGTTTTTGTACAATGTGTTAGCAGTAGGTAACACTGTAAGATTTTATTTCAGAGGATATTCTTTCCACTTTTTTCTTGTGCTGAGCAAGGTACATAGTTTGAAGTGCAGTAATTGGTTTTTATCTGTGCTTTCTAGAATTAAGTTTACACTGATCTCCCAATTTCTATGGCAAAACTGATAGTAGAAATTTTGAAATTTTCTATTTCAAATTCCGCCAGCATTGTGAGGTCAACTTGCTCTGTAGATTTTGAGGTGGACAGTACTGAGTAGCTGCCAGTAATGACAATAACATTAGGTGTCCCCTTAAAAGACTTTGTATACACGGTTCAAGACTTACCTTTCCAATTCTGTTGGCAACACTGGGCAACTGCTGGACTGGTGTATGTGTGGTGTTTAGTTCACAGATTGTCTCTGGCAGGCTTACTCTAAGCAATGCTTCTTAGCAGCAGATGCTCTAATGAGAAATATATCTGTTTAAAACAATGTTGAAAGCTGTTAATGTTTGGAGCTCATAATCTTGAACAAGAGTGCAATTTGAATTGAAGAATGTTAGTATCATACTTCAAAGTGAGTAATACTCGAGTCTTGGGGGTTTTAATCTGTCGCAGAACTATAGCAAGTGATAAAGGTATTCAATCTACATTTATATGCTTTCCTCTATATTGAACAGGAGAACATTTGCTGGAAAGGATAGTTCCTTGTCATATACTTTAAAAAGATATGCATAAGGGGCTGCATTTGTTTCAGGTTTACTAAAAATCCTGATATTTTCTGATCTTGGTATGCTTTTGAAAAAAATTTAGTGAAGATTTGTGTTTAATTTCTGAAATTGCATTTAAAAATTAAAATGAAAACTATAATCTGGCAAGAATTATGAAAAATACTTTGTTCTACCTTATTAACACCATATAGTTCACTAGTACAATTAAATCTT